GTTATACCATGTTCATGGATTGGAATGCCCATATTGTAAATACATGAATTCTCTAAATTTATCTATGGAGCCAATACAATATAAATCAAAGCATATGTTCTTTTTTAGATGCAAGATATACCTAAAATTTATACCAAAATGCAAAGTGCAAGAATAACCAAGACAATCTTGGAAAAAAGTAACCCCTCTTTAAAGGCAAATATCAAGTTTTTCAATGATAGTATGATATTATGCAAGAACAGGCAACTAAACCCACAGAACAGAATATCCAGTCCACAAGACCTTCATGTATTTGGACACTTAATTTATGAAAAAGCTGGCAATGCAGAGCAGTGGGGAAAGGAAGGTCTTTACAATAAATGATTCTGGATCAAATGAATATCCATATGGGGAAAAATGTATCCTGATCCCTACCTCAGATCATACACAAAAGTCTATCCCCAGATAGATTACAAATCTAAATGTGAAAGGTGAAACAACAGAATTTTTAGAAGAAAATATTCATGATTTGGGGTTGGGCAAATTACTTAAAGAGGATTCAAAAGAGCATTTTTAAAAATTTTTTAATTTTTTAAAAATAGTTTATTGTCAAGTTGGTTTCCGTATAACACCCAGTGCTCATCCCCACAAGTGCCCTCCTCCATGCCCATCACCCCCCTTCCCCTCTCCCCCATACCCATCAGTCTTCAGTTTGTTCTCAACATTCAAGAATCTCTCATGATTTGCCTCCCTCCCTCTACCCCACATTTCCCCCTTCTTCTCCCCCACGGTCCTCCATTAAGTTCCTCCTAATCCTCCTATACATGCAAACATATGGTATTTGTCCTTCTCTGCCTGACTTATTTCGCTCAGCAAAGCACCCTCAAGTTCCATCCATGTTGCCACACATGGCCAGATTTCATTCTTTCTCATTGCCATGTAGTATTCCATTGTATAGATAAACCACATCTTCTTGATCCATTTGTCCGTTGATGGACACTTACTCTCTTTCCATGTTTTGGCTATTGTTGAGAGGCTGCTATGAACATTGGCATACATGTGCCCCTATGCATCAGCACTCCTGTATCCCTTGGGTAAATTCCTAGCAGTGCTATTCCTGGGTTGTAGGGGAGTTCTATTGTTAATTTTTTGAGGAACCTTCACACTGTTTTCCAGAGGGGCTATACCAGTTTACATTACTACCAACAGTGTAGGAGGGTGCCCGTTTCTCCACATCCTCGCCAGCATCTAGAGTCCTCTGATTTGCTCATTTTAGCCACTCTGACTGGCATGAGGCGGTATCTCAGTGTGGTTTTGATTTGTATTTCCCTGATGAGGAGGGATGCTGAGCATTGTTTCATGTGTCTGTTGGCCATCTGGATGTCCTCTTTGGAGAAGTGTCTGTTCATATCTTCTGCCCATTTCTTCACGGGATTGTTTGTTTTTGGGGTGTGGAATTTGGTGAGTTCCTTATAGATTTTGGATACTAACCCTTTATATGATATGTCACTTGCAACTATCTTTTCCCATTCTGTTGGTTGCCTATTAGTTTTATTGATTGTTTCCGTTGCCATGAAGAAGCTTTTAATCTTGATGAGGTCCCAATAGTTCATTTTTGCTCTTGATTCCCTTGCTTCAAAAGAGCATTTAACCACATAGGGGAAAGTTCATAAAGTACACTATATTAAAATTAAGAACCTCTGTTCATCAAAAGACACCATTAAGAGAGTGAAAAGGGAAATCCGAGAAAATGAACATATTCAACATACATACATGTCACAAGAACTCATATCCAAAAAATATAAAAATCTACAAATTAGTAACAAAGAACAGCCCAATAGAAAAATGTGCAAAACATTTACCAGACACTTCACAAAAGAAGTGATCCAAATGGACAATATATTTTTTAAAGTTCTCAACTATGTTAGTACTTAGGCATATACAATTAAAACCACAATGCAAACCATGAGAGATTCTTGAATGCTGAGAACAAACTGAGGGCTGATGGGGGTGGCGGGGAGAGGAAGGGGGTTGATGGGCATGGAGGAGGGCACTTGTGTTGAGCAGTGGGTGTTATATGGAAGCCAACTTGACAATAACCTATTAAATAAATAAAGTCTTAAGTTTGTAAAAAAACAAAAACAACACAATGCAATACCACTACTAACCCACTAGAATGGCTAAAATTAAAAAGACAGATACCTGGTTAAGCATCCAACTTCATCTCAGGTCATGATCTCATGGTTCATGAGTTTGAGCCCCGTGGATATCTATGCTGACAGCTCAGAGTCTGACTCCTGCTTCTGAATCTGTGTCTCCCTCTCTCTCTCTGCCCCTCCCCTGCTCACATTTGGTCTCTCTCTCTCTCAAAAATAAATAAACATTAAAATATTATTTAAAAAAAAAGACTGACAGTAACAATAAAGAGTGTAAATTGGAACAACCACTTTGGAAAACTAGTAAACTTCTTAAGCTGCATGTAAGTTAACCCTATGACCCAGCAATTCCATTTAGTATATGTGTTCACTTAAAGATATGTATTGTAATATTAATAGGTGCACTATTTCTAATAGCTCAAACTGGAAATTACCCAAATGGTCATCAATAGCAGAATGGATAAATTAGAATATTCACACAATGAAATGCTATATAACACCAAGATTAAATTAAGTACGTCTACACACTAATATAACGTTAAGCAAGAGATATATAGGAAACACCATATGTATAAACACAAAATTGAGCAAAACCAATCTATGCAAGACGTGGTTACCATTGGGGCAAGCGTGTGACTAAAAGGACAAGAAGGGGGCTTCTAGAATGTGGCAAAGTCTTGTTCTTGATCAGGATGCCAGTTACTTGGGTGTGTCTGTTTTGCATTCTGTTCAAAAAGTTCAAAAAGAATCAATTCCAGGGGGATTGTAAAGCTATATGTGAGAGGTAAAACAATTAAGCCTCTAGCAGACAACAAAAATCAATATTTGAGGGTACAGGCACAGACACACAACCCTCAAACCAGAAAAGGAAAGTTGAATTACATAAAAATTAGAAACTTCTAGTCATCAAACAACACCATTAAGAGTGGAAAGGCCAGTAAGCAGAAAAACTTCCTGTCCTAGACCCACATGACCACAGTGTAACTTTCCCTCCATAAAAAAGGACAAAAGATAGTCAATGGATAGGGCTTCCTGAGCTAAGAAGTTTTTCCTCTGATGACTTCTCTTGAATTGGACCATTTGAAAGTGTGTTCCCATTGCAAAATGGGTGAGGAGGCCATTTTTGTAGCCTTTTGATTTAAATTGCAGCCTGGATTATGATTTGGTGATTTGGGGAATAGGATGTTATCCTAAACAGACCAAAATGGACTACAATTTGTATTTTGCAGCATTGGTGACATGTACAAGGACAGTATTTCTGGTCTCTGTGAATTCTTTTCTACTTAAGCAGTTTTAACAACAACAAAAGTGCAAAAGCAAGTCACAGAGTGTGCTCAAATGCAGAACATATAAAGAAATCCTATAAGTAAAAGAAAAAAAAAGGCTAAAATCCACTAAAAATATTGGACACTTCCCGAAAGATATCTGAATAGACATAATACATGAAAAGGTCCTCAACTTCATTAGTTATTAGAGGAAAGCTAATCAAAACAATAGTGCAATACTACTACACACCCACCAGAAGCCCCACAATCAAAATTATTGACTATGACAATGACGCTGAGGTTGGAAGCCATGGAAACCCTTACACTCCGCTAAAGAGTATGTGTATTATTTCAGCCTCTTGGCTGAAACAGGCATACCTATTGATGATCTGATGTCCCAGAAGTTCTACTCCTGGGGAAACTCCGGCACATGCGCATTGGATCCATGTACAAGAAAATACATAACGGCATTATTCTGAATAGCTCCCCCAAAAAACAACCCTAGTGTCCACCAACAACAGAATGGCTGAGTTATGGTATACAACAAAAAAAGGAATTCTACACTGCAGCAAAAGTAAACAAACCATTGTTGTATGCAACCTGAATGGATTCCAGGCATAATACAAAGCCAAAGAAACCAAGCACGAAGGCAAACTGCATGATTCTATTTTTTTAACTTTCAAAAAATGTTTTATTTATTTCTGAGAGAGAGAGACAGCATGAGCAGGGGAGGGTCAGAGAGAGAGGGAGATACAGAATCTGAAACAGGCTCCAGGCTCTGAGCTAGCTGTCAGCACAGAGCCCAACGCGGGGCTTGAACCCACTAACCGTGAGATCATGACCTGAGCTGAAGTCGGACACTTAGACTGAGCCACCCGGGCGCCCCTGCATGATTCTATTTATATCAAAAGCAAGCAAAACTAATCTCGGGTGCTGGGTTCATCATTGCCTTAGGGAAAGGAGGGAAGCTTTCAGCAAAGGGTTTTTCTTCTGGACCCAGAGGCAGCAACGCAGGTGTGCTTACTCTGTGGCTGTCTGTCACGTTCCAGACTCCCGGTTTGCGCACTTTTCTGTATATCATGCTTCCTTGTGAATATTGAAATGTCTGGAGATCAAAAGACAAACCGCACACTGAACGGTGCGCAGATTCCTGTCGGATGCACTCGGAGGTAAGGCGGTCCCAGCGAAGTGGCCCTGCGCCTTACCTTGACCTGGTTCTCACGTGGTAGCCCCGGAGGCCAAAGCCCTGGACCAGGATGGGAACCTGAAGTCCGGGACCCCTCCTCACTGGATCCCAGGGGTGAGTGAAGACAAACACAGCGTCCCCTCCCACCTGAATGTGCACCATTGCATGAGAAAGTTCCACTCGGGTGCTTTCACATTTTGCTTAACTTGCGAACACAAACATCTGGAATCAGAGACCCTCCTCCAGATAAGCCCTCAGGAAGCACCCAAAACCTGAGACACCTTCAAATGCGCCAGGACCTCCAAAGAGAACGCGATCTGGGGCGTGGCTCTTCGATTGCTTCGGTCTGGGTGTCGAGCTGCGCGCGCACGCGCCGGCTGCGATTGGTGTTGCCTGGCGGCGGGGCGCGGGGGACGCTGGGAAATCTGGCGGGCAGGAGGCGGCGGGAAGCAGCTGGCGGGCCGCGGCACCGGCAGCGGGAGGCGGCAGGATGGTGAAACTGACGGCAGAGCTGATCGAGCAGGCGGCGCAGTACACCAACGCCGTGCGGGACCGCGAGCTGGACCTCCGGGGTGAGTCCGGGGGCGTGGGTGGGCCTCAGCGCGCCGCCGGGTGGTTAGTGCCCCGCCGCGTGCGCGGAGGGCTGGAGCCTGGCCAGCAGGCCTGCATTGTGGGCGCCAAGCCGGGCTGCGCCAGCGCCTCCCGGCCCTGAGTCCTGACTTTGCTGCCAGAAGACCATTCCTAGGCCTTTCTGGGGCTTCAGACGGCCGCTCTCCTACTCACACACAGCGGATTGATTGAGCGCTTCCTGATCCACACCGTGTGCCTCAGTTCGGCCTTGCTCGGCGTGTTTCGCAGTCTGAACTGTTTGAGAGCTGGGGAAGTGTTAATAATTGTAATCCTAGTGTTCAGCGACCGGTTCATTCTCAGTAAAGACGTCAGAGTGTTATTACAGGGATTATAGACAGGATACGTGTTAATTATCTGTAATTTGCGAGGGAGGAAATGAAGTCCTAACAAAAGCGATGGCTTCTTCCCCCACGATTTCTTTCTTAATAGCTTCGGTCGTCTGATACTGCCCTTTATCACAACATTTTGAAGAGGAATGCACCACGAGTGCCGTATGTAAGGGGTGGAAGCTCTGAATCACTCAGATTCATGTAGCGCTTTCAATCTTGGTAAGGCTTGGTTAAAAAAAAATGGGAGTGCAGCTGTCTACTCGGCATTTCAAGGAAAAGATTTTATAGGAAGGATGTGAAGAGCAGTTTCTCAGCGGATGAAATAATACAATTCGATTTGCGCCTAAGAAAGGGGCAACACCACCCGCGGAGCAGTAGGAGCGGTGCTACTGCGGGCTCTGCTCTCGGCTTGAATTCCTGGCTCACAAAAGCCGGTGCTTTTCATTTTGTTGAAATTAAGTTTCCCAGGGAGAAGTTCGGTTAGGGAGTAACTGACCACTTACACTCTCTTGACGCAGACTGATCTCTGCCTTCTAAGTCTGAAGTGCATCGGGTGTTGGGGATACTTGTTTTGGTGCAGCGCTTACGCTGATGTAGCCCTTGCAGCGCAGAATTAATGCACTTTAACCTTGGCTTGGGTTCGTTTCTTCTGCCAGTACCTAGCACAATAGCTATGTCCATTTTAGACAGATCAGTGAGTATCTGAGTGAATTGTTCACAGGGTGATGATTTCTATACCGTTGTGTATAAACCATTGACTTTCAACTCTGGATTGTAGCAGGGGGGAGGTAAAGGGGACCGGACATGGTATCACTAGGATGTCCTGGTAAGTTCTACGAATGTGGCCTGTGGGAATGCAAAAGAGCTTAAGATTGTCCACAACGTGGGAACAAGACTTGGACACTGACAGTAAGCAGCTCACAGTGTAAACTGTCATCATGCCATTTATTTCGAACAGTGAGACACCTTGTAAATAGTCTTGCAGATGTTAGCTACCAATATTGCTATTAGTGTCTTCGTTATCACAGACCTTGACCTTGTTGTGATCACTGTCTTCATCTCCACTCCTAGACTGTAAGCTTCTCGGCAGCTGGGACATGCGACCCTCATTTTATGTGCCAGTACCTTGCACATTTGCATAGTGTTTGGCACAGCATAGGTGCTGGGTAAACACTTTCTGAACATATGGAAGCTCTGAGTCAAATTACCATGAAGTACCGCTGATGTTTTCAGGTACCTTTTAACTATATTAATACTTGTGTATTTTCCCTCCATTTTATAGGGTATAAGATTCCTGTCATTGAAAATCTAGGTGCTACCTTAGACCAGTTTGATGCTATTGATTTTTCTGACAACGAAATCAGGAAACTGGATGGTTTTCCTTTGTTGAGAAGACTGAAAACGTTATTAGTGAACAACAATAGAATATGGTAAGTGTCTGCTACTGGAAAGTAATTTTTTCCCCCTAGAGTAAAATGTTGCCGTGTTCCCTGAAGACACTGTAGTACTACTGGTTGAGCCTACATGTTTCTTCTTAAAAGGAGAAACAAGCTGCATTTTTCCCATATCAGATACAGAGATTAACTTGGCATTGGTCTACATTGATTTGCACCTGTTCAGAAATACTTATATACATATGGTAATAAATATATTTAAGTTATAAACATGCTGTTTTTTACATATTTTGACTTCTAAAACAATCACTGGAATTATCAGGATTATATTAAAAAGATGCATAAAGTTCAACAATTATATTTTTGACTAAATGTCTCTCGTATCCTCTGACATTTGTTTTTTTCCAACTGATTTTTAGAATATTACTTACTGAAACTGAGGGTTATTTTTTTTTTTTAACCCTCTTTCATCGTCTCTGAGTAAATTTCATCCGAAAAGTTATTGAAAGTCTATAGACAATGTCTTTAAGAAGTACTAGGTAGTGACTTGGTTTTATTACAATACGCATATTTTCTTCTGAGTTAACCATCCCCTTACGGTGTAGCTGAGCTGTGAATGCAGAGTCATTTGTATTTCTGCTGCCTGCACGGAAGTCATGATAAGCTGAGAAGTTTCTTCTTCGCTTTGCTTTCCCTGGACAGTTGTGGTAGCGCAACCCTTCGGGAGACATGGGTCTAGGATCATCCGCCTTCTGCCACTAACCCTGTGATAATGTTTGCTCTTTGTGCCTCATTTTCCCTCTGTCAGATAGGGTGTCAGAAGAAAGATCTCTAAAGTTCTTCCAACTTTGGAGTCTGAAATCTTCTGAGCAGGGACTTAGATGAAATTGTTAGCTTTCTAACTTTTCACTCTTACGAAGACTCTTTGTTTTCATTTTAGCCGCATAGGTGAGGGACTTGATCAGGCTCTACCCTGTCTGACAGAACTCATTCTCACCAACAACAGTCTTGTGGAACTGGTAAGTTGAACAGGGGGAAAATGTATTTGGGGGGAGGAATTAAAGGCACTGCATGCCTCTTAGAGAAAATTTGGAAAATCCAGAAAATTATCTGATTATCCTTTGTCTTTTTCTTAATTCAAGATCTGGGTCTCTTTCGGTCATGTATGTTGCAGATACCCTTTTCCACTCTGTAGCTCACCTTTGGACTGTCTTAGGGTGTCTTGATAGAGAGGTCCCTTATTTAAGTGCAGTCCAATTTATCTAATTTATCCGTTTTTTGTTGTTGTTGTTGTTGCTAATGCTTTTGATGGTCTGTCAAGCTTCCCCTACCCCAGAGTCACAGAAAAACTCACTTAAGTTGTCTTCTAGAATTTCATTGTCCGGTATGGTAGCCGTTAGCCACACCTGGCTACTCTGAATTGTGATGTACTAGAACTAAAATACACATCAGATTTCAGAGACTTAGTACAAAAAAGAATGTAGACTATCAGTTTTTTATGTTGATACTTAAAATGGTAGTATTTTGGATAATAGGTTAAATAATATTCTACTAAAATTAGTTTCACTTGTTTTTCTCTTCTCATTGGCTGCCACAAAATTTAGTTACATAATGTATGTAACACGTTAACTTTTCTTGGACAGTTATAGTCCAGAAACGTGCTTTAGTCTTCACATTTGGGTCAGTGATCCACTTGGAATTGGTTTTCCTGGGAGATAAGGGGCAAGTTTTCTCCATTTGGATGAGATTATTTAACAAAATTGAGCTTGTGGTATACATTGTTTTGTAACCTAACTTTTTCACTTAAACATTGGATGTTTAAGTCCATGTTATGTGACTTGATTTTGTGCTTTTTTTCTTACCTCCCTTCCCTGTTTTCCTGATTGTTCCTTTCCTGTGGACTCAGTCCAGAGCTTCCTGCAGATTCTCAGAGTTCTTGACTCTAGAAGTAAGAAAGCACTGGTCTGAGGCCGTGTCTTTTTATTATTCTGTTGTGTCCCTCTTTATCTCTATTAGTACTGTTCTACCTTGTCTGTTTTATTTGTTGTAATACGCCAGAACAAACTTTGTTTTAGCTGGCGTTTGTATGATAAATTTTTGTCCATCCAGAATTGACTTTCAACCTTTCTGCCTTGTATTTTAGGTTTATCTCTTAAAAACAGCAAATGTGATAGGATTTTTAAAAATCCAATGTGAAGTCTGTATTTTAAATGAAATATTTGGGCTATTTACATAATATAATTACTGGTATATTTGAGTTTGTCTTCTCTGTTTTCTGGAGGTTACTATTTGAGTCCCTATTCTGCGTTTCTTTTTTTTTTTTCCTCTTCATTGTGTTCATTCTCTCTCTCTTTTTCTCTGTTATTCTTTGCCTACTAATAGTGTAGGAATTACTTATTCCTTTTTTTTTTTTTTTTTTTTTGAGAGAGAGAGAGCCAGAGCCAGAGACTGAAAGCAGGGGAAGGAGGCAGAGGGACAGGGAGATTCTTAAGCAGGCTTCATTCTCAGTGTAGAGCCCGATGTGCGTGCAGGTCTATCTCATGACCCTGAGATCATGATCTGAGCCAAAATCCAGAGTGGGACTCTTAACTGACGGAGCCATCCAGGCGCCCGTACTTATTCCTATTCTTAGCATTGTGGGAATTAAAATACACATTCATTGGGGGCTCCTGGATGGCTCCTCCTGTTAAGTGTCTAGCTTCCGTTCAGGTCATGATCTGACAGCTCATGAGTTTGAGCCCCTCAAGTTTGAGCCCCGTGTCAGGCTCTGTCCTGACAGCTCAGAGCCTGGAGCCTGCTTCCGATTCTGTGTCTCCCTCTCTCTCTGCCCCTTGTACATGTGTGCATGTTCTCTCTCTCAAAAATAAATATTTAAAAAATATTAAAAATTAATAAATAAAAATACACCTTCATTAAAGTTTTGAGTTAACCAGTACCCTTAGCTTCTTAAACAATACAATGATGTTAAACATTTCAAATCATTCAACATGTTATTTATTCTGTCTTTAAAAAAAAAGCCTTTAAGACATTGTCATTATGTTTTACACAGTTTGTGTGAGTGTAACAAAAATTGCCATTCTTTGTTCCTTTTTGGGTTTTTTGTAGCTTTGCTGAGGTATGACTAAGATAAAAATTGTATGTATCTAAGGCGTGCAGTGTGATTTTTGAGAAATGTACACATTGTGATTACCATTATCAAATTAACATATCCATTACCTCACATATTTACTTTTTGTTTGTGTGGTGAGAATACTTGATATCTATTCTCAGCAAAAAAAATTTTTTTTAAATTATGGAAAGAGAGAGCACGAGCGGGAGAAAGGCAGAAAGAGAGGGAGACACAGAATCTGAAGCAGGCTCCAGGCTCTGAGCTGTCAGCACAGAGCCCAACATGGGGCTCAAACCTACAGACCATGAGATCATAACCTGAACCAAAGTCAGACACTTAACTGAGCCACCCAGGTGCCCCTCTCAGCAAATTTCAAGTACACAGTAGTACATTATTATTAACTATAATCACCATGTTGTACATTAGGTCTCCAGAACTTACTCAGCTTATAACTGAAAGTTTATACTCTTTGATCAGTAGTTCATGTTCCCTCCCACCCCTGCAACCCTCAGCCTCTGGTAACCACCATTCAACTCTCTGTTGCTAAGAGTGGGTCTCTTTTTTTTTTTTTTTTTAATTAAACATATAAGTGGGATCATGCGATGTTTGTCTGCTTTTGTTCCTTTTTAGTTCATCCTGTATATTTTAGTGGTGCTATGCCAGTAGCAAGCTTAGAGCTCCCTCTTATGGTGTTTGTGAAGTATGTTTAAAATGGCAGCTTATTTTCTGATCTACTGGCTTTGTTCCCCTCTTGCTTTTTTTTTGTCTGTACTTTTTTCTCATTGTCCCTCTTGCCCCTGACCTGCTCAATTTTAGTCTGATTCTAGCAGTTTCTCCCCATTGTAGGCCTTTGTCCTGGAAGGGATACTGTTTCTGGTTAGTATTAAAAGCGAGGGCCCAAATTGCCTGGCCCCGTCAGACTTAAATTGGGATGTACGTATAAGTGCTCAGGCTTGTCGGATGCCTCTGCCTTCCCTCTGCTTCTTCCTGCTCAGATGTTGCCCCCATGAAGGTCGTGGAGCTCCCCTGATAGTTGGTCTCTACTCGTTCCTGCTTGAGGGTTCTTTCCAGAACGCCTTTCCATCTAGTTTAGTTGTAGCTGTTAACCATAGGCTTCAGTTTTGCTGTGCTGTTGCCGTGTGTTCTGTGGGATAATTTGGGAAGATTAAAAACCAAAAAACTGCCTTTTTCCCATAATTGGGTCCTTTTTTCTTTTTTTTAAACTCCTTGTCCTTGAATAATTATCTGAAGTGATTTGAGGGAGCCTTGAATAAAGGTGCCTCCCATGGGGCGCCTGGGTGACTCCATCAGTTAAGCTTCCGACTTTTGCTCTTGCCTCAGGTTATGATCTCATGGTTTGTGAGGTTGAGTGCAAATTCTCTCCCTCGCTGTCCCTCTCCCCTGCTCTCTCTCTAAAATAAATATTTACAAAAATAAAAATAAATAAAGATCCCTCCTCTCAACCATGAGATGCCTGTGTCACCACCAGGCACTTACAGGTACTAGTGGGAAAAACCACCTTCCACCAAGATCCAGCTGGAGATTCCCTGTGTGAATAACTTGCTCCAAAGTTGCATCAGCTTGGACATTTCTTTCTTTTCTAAATCGTTGCTTTAAAGTCTAGACCCTTTTTTTTTTTTTTTAAATGTTTTATTTATTTCTAGGAGAGAGACAGAGAGACAGCATGAGCAGGGGAGGGCCAGAGAGAGAGGGAGTCACAGACTGAAACAGGCTTCAGGCTCTGAGCTGGCAGTCAGCACAGAGCCTGACGCGGGGCTCGAACCCACGAATCGCGAGATCATGACCCAAGCAAAAGTCAGATGCTTAACCGACTAAGCCACCCAGGCGCCCCTAAAGTCTAGCCCTTTTGAAGTTGCTACAGGATATCACTTTTTTTGGGGGGGCGGGTCTATTGAGACAGAAGCTTTTATGGCTGTGGCTAAGATTTTCAGCTTAAGAAGCTCAAATTTACTCACTAGTTTATCAGTAGATAAAAGAGGAGTCCTTGCTCCAAAGGCATCTGCCATTTCAGAGCATCAAAATAGCCTATGGCGGGACGGGGACACCTGCATAGCCCAGTTGGTTAAGTGTCTGACTCTTGATTTCGGTTCAGGTCATGATCCAGGGTCACAGGATTGAGCCCTGTGTCAGTCTCTACACTGAGCATGGAGCCTGCTTTGGGATTCACTCTCTGTCTATCTGCCCCTACTCCCTTACCCTCTCTCTCACTCTCGGTATCTCCCCCTCTGCTCCTCTCCCCTGCTCATGTGCTCGCTCGCGCTCTCTCAAAAAAAGTAGCCTGTGGTATTCGTGTTCTTACCTCTGGCTATTTGTTTTACAGGGTGATCTGGACCCTTTGGCATCTCTCAAATCACTGACTTACCTAAGGTATGGAAATGATTTGTGGTGGTGACAGTGAAGTCCTTTACAGAGACACCATTATCAGCCTTGATCTTAAAATAACCAGTAAGAAGCACCTTTTAAAAACAAATACTGAAAATACTTCCTTTAGGTCCAGTGCTCTATTAAAACTTCCCTAATGTTAACTGAGTAACATTGAAATGTGAAAAAAAGTCGACTTTTCCTTAGTGTATGGACTCATTTGATTTTATTAAAAATGGACCTCTTGAATCCTAAGCTATGAACAAGATTGGCATTGTTATTCCTTTTCTTGCAGTATTCTGAGAAATCCTGTAACAAATAAGAAGCATTACAGACTGTATGTAATTTATAAAGTTCCGCAAGTCAGAGTACTGGATTTCCAGAAGGTGAAACTGAAAGTAAGTATATTCTGTTGGCTGTAAGTCGTCATACATTCATGTTTTAATTTATACTTTTGCTGTTGATTTTTTTTAACTTGCCTAATGTGTTTTACTGTTGGTTTGTAATAAAAATGTGGGAAAGAAAATGTTAAGTCAGATTTTTTTTTTTTTTTTTTTTTTTTTGTAACAGAGTTTATAGTAGGACTTTAAGTTAAAGCTGTGTTTTGTAGTAGTTGTTCGTTGTTGAGAGGTAGCATGGTATTGGAGCCGCTGTGAGTGGTGCCAACAAGACTGTGTTTAGATATGTGTTCCGCCATGGGGAGCTTAGAGAATCCATTTTTCAGCAACTTTGTTAGAATGATTTTCCCTTTATAGGGAGTGGGGTTTTGGTTGTTTTTTTTGGTTAGTTTTTGTTTTGTGGGGTTTTTTTTGTTTTGTTTTGTGGTTTTTGTTTTGTTTTTTCCTTTTTAAACCTTCTTAGTTCCTCCAGAGTCCCTCCTCGAAGCTAGGAGGGGGAACGTTCTTCAGGGAGCTTCACCAGAAAAGGCAAGGCCATTGTGTCTCCTTTGAATTTGAAATTGACTTTTTGGTATTTTTACCAGTCCAGAGTATTTCAGGAGAGTTTTCTTCCGTGTTTTCTGAGGAATGCATCTAAATGCACGTGGTATTCCTATTTCCATTAACTCTGTGTGTGGTGTTGCTGTAGGAGCGTCAGGAAGCAGAGAAAATGTTCAAGGGCAAACGGGGTGCACAACTTGCAAAGGATATTGCCAGGAGAAGCAAAACGTAAGATACGGATATCCAACTTCACTCCACTTCACCTTCAGAAACACTATCTGTCTGGCTTTTTGCCTCCTGCAGAACTAAACAAAACACCTGTGACTAATCCCGAATTGAATTTGTGTGATGATAGCCCATGACCATCAATGGTCCACACATCACATGAGATTTCTACCAGGTTAGCAAATACTTCCGGTGTTCAGTCTTAATGCAACATTATATACATCCTGCTTTCTCTAGAGGAAGATGAACTGGGTGGTGTTTCTGAAGGAGAGAGTTTCTTGTATCAGTTTGTTAACAAAGATAAGATACTACACTGGTTGAATTACTTTCAAAAGCCTTTTTGAAAGTAAAAGAGAAGCAATTTCTGTTGGTCTGGATTTAACAGTTACGTTCTTCCCTCCCCTCCCAAGTTTCAACCCAGGTGCTGGTTTGCCGACTGACAAAAAGAAAGGTGGGCCGTCTCCAGGGGATGTAGAAGCCATCAAGGTAAAAAATATGTTAGGACAGTTGCCATAGGTTTTGGACACAAAATATGTAATAGACCAAGTTCTAAACATCCCGGCCTCCCCAACCCCCATCCCCCGCTAGATTCCTGCACCATTTCTGTGTAAGAAGGGAACTAGCTTAACGTGATACTCAGCTACGCTTTGACTTGAATTGCTTGTATGAGCCAGTCAGAGCAGAGGCAGTTCTAGTTCCTTTTCTTTTTCCCAGGGTGTTTATTTGAACGGTCAGTTACCTAAGTATGCTGTCTTGGTTGTTTGCCTTAATTTTTACTTTCAAAGATTTGCTGTCTCAAAGATCTGCTTGATGATCAGTGGGAAATCCTGCTTTCCTAATATTGCTCCTAAATTATCCAGTAACATAATTCCACATAGGTGCTTTAATTAGCTAAAATTTTAGGACATGTGCAGTGATCATTTGCTGAATGTTACAGTAAAATTCTCCCAGTACAGCTGTTTAATGTTCCAACTCAAAAAGTTGCTGTGGACTTTTGTAGGGTTTTCTGGGTGATTGATACTTAGATGCAATTAATTGTCCATCTCTGTTGTTTTCTGTCCTCCAGAATGCCATAGCAAATGCGTCAACTCTGGCTGAAGTAGAGCGGCTGAAGGGCTTGCTGCAGTCTGGTCAGATCCCTGGCAGGGAACGCAGATCAGGTCAGGACATAATGGTCTGTCTGTGAACTTCCAGACTGATGTTATACTTGCAGTGGATTCCTAAACAGTTTAGGTGCTGTGACCCACAAATGTTAGAATAGTGCCTCATTAGCATCAATGCAAATGAAATCCCTTTCTTCATATGCTCTTGGAAGATAAGTTATTTGATGTAAACTATTATGGCATAGGGCTCCAAGGGTTTCTTATGTAAAAATTGAAGCACACGTTATTCCCTAGTCATGGGGGAAACTGAATGCTAGAGAGGTAACTGTGTGGACTTTGACCTGCGTGTGTGTGTGTGTGTGTGTGTGTGTGTGTGTGTAGGATTGATAGCTTAGTAGTTGGAAACACAAGCTACAGAGCCAAACAACATATAGCTCAGATCTTAGCCTTACCAGGTCTCTCTTCGGGTGAGTTTCTTCATCCTCACTTAATGTCAAGTTGTTCCCTCGTCTTTAAATCTGAGATAATATATAGTACCAACCTCAAAAAGTTTGGGGGAAGGATAAGACAGTTTACAGGTAGTACTTAGCACAGGGTTTGTTATTAGCGTAAGTTTTTGATAAGTGTTGACTATTCTAATATCTGAATGCCACCTGTGTGTCAGGCAGGATATTGGGCCCTGGGAATATAAAGTAAAAACTACTCAACATTATGCATGTCACAAGTTTTGATATGAGTGTAACTGGGGGCTTCTACCTACACTGCAACTCAGAGAAAGTTCTCTGGGCAAATTGTGTTTGAACAGAAGCTAGAAATGAGTAAGACATTAATTAGACCAGTGGTTCTCACTGTGTAGTCCTTGAGCCACTGGGCCTCTGAGGTCAAAACTCTCTATAATAACATAAAGGCTTTACTTTTTTTCATCGCTACTAACATTTGCACTGATGGTGTGAATGCAATGGGGGTGAAACTGGTGGGGCCTCAGCACAGGTCCAGGAAGTGACCCAGAGGATATTTGTAGTCCTCATTCTTAACTGCTGTGCACTCTTAGTAAATACCAGTGTCACTTAGGAATGTCCTTCCTGAAGGAAGCAAAGAGATGGGTGTTAGTAAATACCACCCTTTGAGCGCACATGTTTTGATGCTCCGGGGGGCAGGACGGGGGTATGTGAGCAGCACTTAGCCTAAGTTGGATGGTTGTCTCCATGCACTTGTATAGTTGTTTTGGTTGAGAGGCAGGCATCTTCTCGAACGTGGAGTGAGCTTGTCACTAACCCTTAAGAAACTACCACTTTGGTCAAGTTTTAGCTTAGGGCCAAAAAAGAAAATCCACACTGTCTGCAAAAACTCTGAGAACAGTCCTTCCTTTTCTAACTGCACAGCTGTATGAGGCTGATGTTCTTTACATCCTTCAGTGAAAACAGTAGGTTTGCCACAGGTGGAAATGAAGAAGCCAGTACAAGAGTCCAGCTGACTGCCACTCATGAGACATCAGACATTACAGAGATAGGCACACATGTAAAATAGCGCCAGCCTTCTCACTAAATATTTTTGTTTTGGAAAATAATATTTTTATAAAAATACAAACATTAACATGTAATGGATACATTTTTAAGTGAGTTACTACTTGTTTAAAATCTTCCATTTTAATTTCTAATACAGTATTGATTGATCTAGTATCCATAAATGTACGGAAACAAAAGCTCTTTGGGTCCCAAAACTAATGTGTTTGAGAATTACTGAACTAAACAAAGGCAGAGTGGCATGCTCAAGGCAAAGCAGGATGTCGGGGACTGCGCGGGCAAAGGACCTGTAGTAAAAAGGAACCTTGCACACTAGAACTGAAAGAGGCCAGTGTGAGTGAAGTTCAAGGCACAGGGAGAATGTGAGATGAGCCAACAGAGAAAGAATGCCTGGGCCACACAAGGTGCTGCAGACTGTGATGGATGAGGCCTGTGTCCTCAGCAACATGTAAAGGCCTCTGAGGCTCAGTGGTGACAGGTTAGGGGAAGAGGCAATATCACAATTACTTATTGTGACTGTAATATGATAGATTTACTGAATTAATTTGTGTCCCCTCAAAATGTTTTCTTTGGGCCTTAGGATCTATTGGGATTTTCAGTGCGATCTGAAAGTTCAGTAGGGAGAGGAAGGTAGAAATTGTTCAGGGCACTCCATGGATTTCAGTGGGCCTCGGCTTCTGAGTATGCTAATACTTGACTGGGATTCCTACCTTGGTAGTTTTGCATCTAGAAATGTGACATTGGGTCTACCTGTTAAAACATTAGGCTTAAACAAGAGTAATTGTCCCAAACACTGATGGAGTTAAAACATTTCCTTTTTTCAGAATACAGTAACCAAAATATCTGTCATAAATTGATGAATAGATGTAACAGACTTGGTTTTTGCATATTTTCCCTTGGTTAGAGACAGTAAAGTCACTGAGTAGTCCTATTATCTGGCATGTAGGCCACATCCAAATGCTTTCTGAATATTCCCATTTTCTTTCCCTGTGGTAGTTGTAAGAACAAAACACAAAGTAAAAGCTTTTTACCTTCACGAAAAATAATGAATGAATGAACAGCTCAACCAAAGATGGTTAGAATGTCAGGCAATGAGTTTGACTTTTTATAAAACATCTTTGTGATCCTTTCCCTCTAGGAATTGACCATCCCTTCCCATACCTGCCAAAGACGGCCATTCTCTGGGCTGTAAGCTCCCTGAGGCAGGGGCTGCTGGGGTTTGTTCCTAGTCAGGGAGTAGCGTGCAGTAGCTTCGCAGATTGGCCACTCGCATACTAGCAAACACATGCTGTAAAATCAATATGACGTGTGGCTTTGTGTTTTTCCTTAGGCCCCACTGATGACGGCGAAGAGGAGATGGAAGAAGACACGGTCACAAATGGGTCCTGAGCAGTATGGCCTGAGTATCTGCTGGATGTATACTATGCCCACCGGGGACAAGTCCTGCTTTTTGAACTTGGAATGACAGCCTTGTTTGTGTCAGCAAAGTGGAATTGAAATGTTGAAATGCTTAAGACTGCTGCTGGTAATTTTGTAATATTATACATTTTGAAATCTAAATGCTAAATGCCATTTTTTTACAAATAGTAAAAATACAAAGACATTCGCTGTGCTGCCAAGTTGTCTGTCATCGGGGCGGGGTGTGCAGTGAGGTGTTTGGACATGTTTCAGTTGGAGATGCCAGAGGGCACTGTTTCTAGGTAGGCTTCACAGGCCTCTTTAAATATTTAGATTTTTAAATTCTTAATAAAACTGAAGATTATCTGTGTGCTGCCAGTGGTTTCTGTAAGACTCTGTGATCCCTGATGCATTTTTTTCCCATGCAAAGAACAGCTTTGTTAAAGGCAGCCAGGCTTTAATTAGTGATTTGAAAAATTAAAGGGGAATTGCAACTTCTGCTTGTTGGAATGTGAGCAGCATATTCAAGCATTCGAGGCGTGGTTGGGGGGGCTTTCTGGCTCCGGGACCAGCCTTCTGCGGTCTTCTCACACCTCCTAGATGCTGCAGTACCCTTACCTCACCCTGCTATGGCCACTTAGGCCAGTCTGAAAAACAAAATGGTGGAGGTGAGCACCTCACCATCCATCTTTTCACCTGCTCGTGTTTGGTCGGATTTGGGTGGGTTTTTGGTTTTTTGATTTTTTAAATTCCCTGTGAGATTCTAAATGTGAGAAAGCACTCACTCTAAGTAGGCCACTGAACAGTTGTGGGTGATTCCCTGTGCCTGGTTTGCTGTTCTTGTAAAGTGTATATGAGATGCGTAAGACATTGAAGGAACTCGACCTTCAAGGAGCTGACAGTCTGTCTGGCTGGGAAGTTGGAACCACGGGCTGCAGTGGGGCTAAACCTCAGCAGCAGCTGCTAGAAAAGAGGAGGGCAGAGCGTTCAGAAAAGAGACGGGACTTGGTTCTCAGGAGGATCTGGCCTTCAGTTTTCCTCAGCGTGACCCTAAACTGGTGCTTTCCAACTCCAGTGTGCTAGGAGCTTCCCTGGCATCTTGTTAAAATGTGAGATCCGGTGGGGTGAGAGGCTGCACTTCTAGTAGGTTCTCAGGTGCTGTCCTTCAGAGGATAACACACAGGATTTCCAGCCTTACCTCTCACCACTTCCTCAATGTCTAGCTGACACCTTGCAAGCCCTTCAAGCTCAGTCCCCTCTAATCATGTACTGATGGCCCACACTGCTGTAGGCTGCTCTGTTTGTTTTATCCTCAGCTTGACAGATTTGGAGATTCATGTTTTTTAATGACTTCCTGGGGGCATTTAGGCACCAAAGAAATAACCCAAATACACAGTAGGTGAATATATAAACTAAAAGTTGTTCATTTAATTTGAGAGGAAGATAACTGCAATTCATGCTCTCCTGTTCCCCTCACCAAGATGCCTTCTGGGATTAGAACATTGCCAGATGGCCACAGGATCAGACCAGAAGGACTTGGCGGGGTGGGGGTCTTAAGATCTTCCTGTAACATCTCTCATGACATATGCCAGTGAAGCTGCCTTTTCTACTTCCACATAGCCTTTTTGTTAATGCACATTTACCTGACACTTCTGCTTCTGATGGTACAGCTAAAATGAGTCCCATTTATCTTCTCCATACTTAAGGCCCAGGGAAGCTATTGCCAGGAGGCTCCCTGCTCCCATTATTTATGAGCCCCATACCAAGAAGACTCTGAAGGAGCCTCTGGTCACTAATTTCAGTAATAAATTGGTTGCAGTTCACTTTTCTCCAATCATGTGCCCTACCTTTAAGTCGCCTTCTTTGGGTCCTGGCTTTGACTGCGGGTAGTACTTGGCAAGAATACCCAGACTTTGGTACCACTGTTGAGTGGATATGGACTGAACAGGATTAACTCTGGCACCAAACAGATCAGTGACCCCTGGGTAAAGACTGGAGTGCTGCTAAGAAAAAAACAAAAGGAGACCTTGTTATGTTATTTATGCTATAATTGCAAGTGAGGATTTTGCAAAAACTTGACCAGAGGAAAGTGGAGACTCTTTTGCTCAGAGCTCCGCTAACATCTGCGTGTCTCAGGACCAGAAAAATTGGGTTTCCCTCAACCCAGTTTTTCAAAGAAGCCTGGTGTTTTCCATGTGTAATTTTGTGGAACATGAGGTTCAGTCCAGGATAACATATCATGTCATAGCCAAAACTATACCCGTGTCCCCAGCTGCACAGTTTATATATGCAGATATTTAACATAATTTAAATGCCACAGTAGGAGTCTATAAGAATGCCATCGAAAGGGCCATTCAAGTTTGAAAAACACTACTGTTTGATTGCCATCTCTATAATCTCCCCTAGCTAGCAGCACTTTTAATCCTGTCTTGTTGCGTATACTTTTGTGAAAAGGTAAGATGAGGCAATTTATCAAGTTAGTTTTTGCCACGATAATGCTGATTAACAAACCACTCCAAAACTCCCGGCTTTTAAGTGACAACCACCATTCTCACAGCTGCTTCTGCTTTTTACTGCAGGTCTATGGGTTAACTAGGGTGGCTCAGCTTTACGTCATTCTCCTAGGACGACATCTGCCTACTGCTATTAAGTCCAAAGTCAAAGGATGGGCAAATATACTCCTTCCACCTCGAGGCTATTGCATGGATATGGTTCTCAGAAGGAAGGATGAATTGGGGCCAATCATTTAGTCTACCGTGGATAAACTATACCATGCTTGGAGTTCCTGGATACTAGCTTTGTCCTGTTTCTACAAATAACACATGAGCAATTATATTAAGCAAAGTGTGTGCTGAAATAACTTTACGGTTCTAGATAAGCTAGTTGACATGATACACCCTGATTAAAGAGACAGAGGTAAAACATAAGCCTGGTTAGGAAGAATAACTTTTATTAATGGAAGTTAAGAACAGCATTGTGCTAGGAACTGAAGCAAAACTGCTTTTTCCATGCATTCTCGGAATTCAAAATCTATTAGATTTTAGTTGAATATACTATTCATATTGTAAGTACATAAGTAAACACACAGACTGGTTCATAATAGTATGCAAAGGTACTTTACTCTTGTAGGTATTTAGAAAGTGCAATATTTTCTTGACTGTTGCACTGGCTTCTATTTTATATCAAACTCCTGAATGACAAGAATTGTTCACTATTGGTTTCACTCTTTTTGTTTGAATGATAGATACTAAATGTTAAACTTATTCCGTCTTCAGGACTATAGACATTACAGGGCAGGGTGGGTAAACAAGGCCAAATAAAGCAAATTATTTTCCCCCATTTAACCAGATGGAACATTTTGGCATTTTTATGGTATGCAGGTTGCCTTCATTCATTGACTTGTTTTGAAATCTGGCAACAGCAAATCTTTGCAACCTAGGATCTTCTTCCATTGCTGCTCCATATATCTTACTGCCTGAACTACACTGTGAGCTCTGAAATGTTCAGTGCAACATTCTTGAAGCTTTCACATCTTAATCTGACATCCTTGCCAGGGTGGGAAAGGATGTTAACTGTTTTTAACCCACTCAACCGCTAACTTAATATAAAAAATGAGCTTACCATGCATTAATTGAAACTTGCGTCAGAACGGTTTTCAGGACTTCAACTCTGAGAAAAAAGACGTTCTCACCACCTGCTTCCATGAACAGTGACTCCCACAGCACAGCGTACCTGATGTTCAGAGCATAGCCAAGTCAGGCAAGCCCACTCCGACTAGTTTATTATTATTTATCCACAAGGTGTGTGTGTGTGTGTGTGTGTATGTATATATATATATATAATTTTTTAATATTTATTTCTGAAAGAGCATGAGTGGGGGAGGAGCAGGGAAGGAGACACAGAACTCAAAGCAGGCTCTAGGCTCTGAGCTGTCAGCACAGAACCTGTCGCAGGGTTTCAAATTCAGGAACTTAAACTCAGGATCATGACCAGCGCCGAAGTCCGTGGCTTAACCGAGTGAGCCACCCAGGCGTCCCCACACAAGGTATATTTAAAGCTGGTCCCAAACTAGGTGCTGAAGTCATAATCCTGAGAAATAGTTCGATTTAGCATATCGAGTTGCGACGAGATGCCAAAGCAAGTGAAACCATTTCAAAACAAAGAGTAATGGTTCATCATCCTTAACAAGTGAGAGGAAAATCTCAGTAAAATTCCTCCTAAACTCATCAAATCAGTGGCTTGTCTTCGCAGCCTTAATTGACAAAATCCAGTGTCCTCAATTTCCCCATTTCAAGAATCCATTTTCAAGGTGAAGAACAGCTTTCAGACTTTTCTTTGCCACGGTGCACTACTGCAGTCTCCCAGTAGGAATCTACCACTCTTACTTAAGCTTAGCTCTCTGATAGCTGCCTCCCCCAGGAACTCCTACTGACCCAGCGCTGAGCATGCACACTGCGCACTGCGTTAGCGCCTGGTCCCAGCGGTGCAGGCCTTGCCCACCTGTTCACGGGGTGGTGGCATGCTCTGACGTCATCACCTGGTCGCTGTTTTTTTGTTTTTTTTTTTATGGTTACATTTTTGATTCTCAGCCCTCCTTCCGAGACACAGCTGTGTGTTCACCTCAAAGCCTTCTCCAAAAACAGACTCAAGCCCACATTTCAAGTAGGGTGGTTAGGGCAGGAGGCCTCTGAACGGTAGAGACGCCAGAGGAGTGGAAGGCGGTGAAGGAGGGCTTCGCAGGCAGAGAAAACCACCAGGAAACCATGATCAACAACTGATACGGCCATGTGACACCTCGTAGGATTCGATACGTGCTGGAGCCACTGCTTTTAATTCTTTCCCCAGAGGTTTTGGCTCTGGAGGGGAGGAGAACCCTGAGGGTCGGCGGGCCTTTCTTAGCCTGAACTGTAACACGGGCAGTTGGAGGAGGAGGCTACCAGTGTTTCATCTTCTGCCCAGTTCTGCTGCCCAGTGGGCCCGGGGCAAAGATGTGGGCGCAAATCCTGTTTCCAGGCGGGCCCTGACTCCTGTGACCTCGGCGTGCAATCGGTACAAAAATAAACATGCCTGAGGGAGCCTGCCCAGAGGTCAGTCACGCCGCTGCACTCAGAGGAGCAGTGAGGCCGCCCCGCCACACGGTGCGCTGTCGGCGGGGACACGCCCCTCCCGGCAGGACACACCCTCGCTGTGATAGGCCGAGTCTCTGGACCGGTCGCGCCGCGATTGGCCGGGGCTCAGGGACCCTAGTCCGGGCGCGCCACGTACACGGAGGGGCGGGCCGGAAGGCGAAGACTCTCGAGCTGACGCGGCCGGGCCGCGCAGGGTGGCGGCGGCCATGGAGCGGGACGGGCAGCAGCTGTCCGCGCGGCCGACCCTGGAGACAGAGGGCTTGCGCTTCCTGCACGTCACGGGTGAGTCGCCCCGGGTTGCCGGCCTGTGCCACCAGCTCCTCCGGGCGCCGCCATGTTCTGTGGGTCCTCCGCTGAGCGTCGGGCCGGGCCTGGGGAGGCCCGAGGAGGCCTGGCCCACAGCCGGTGGCGCCCACGCAGGTCCGGGCGGACGGCCTGGGACGCGCGCCGAGGCCCTCTAGGAACTGCACTTTTCCCGGCTGCGCCGTCGGGCCCTCTTCTGCGCCAGTCCCTTACTTTATGCGAAGCGTTACTGGCTTGCGTTACTGGGGCCACTGGGCCCTTGGCGTTTCATTCCAGGCCTCGCTTTCCCCTCCCCCCATACCCGACGCTGTATCGGCTCCCACGACCACCACTTTCTATAAGTTTCTGAGGTCCGAAAGGCGTTCGCCCTCCCGAGTCGGATCAGCTTCCCTCCACCCATCAAAACCCGCTTTCCCCTGCCCTCCGTGCTCTGGACTTGCCCCCCACCCCCGACTCTCCAGATGGTTAAGGAGCCTCTTCTCGGTGATCCCCGAATTATACTCGCTTCTATCTTAACTGCCTACTTGGGAGGCCATTTCCTCAGCTAGACCCGGAGGGATTCGGTGGCAGGAGCCACGCTTCCTTTGTCTTTTTTTTTTTTTTTTTTGGAAGGTCCAGTAGCAGTATTTAATTTTTTTTTTTTTTTTTTACTTTTTTGAAAACTGTTTTCTTTTCAGTGGGCTCCATGCTAGCCACATATGGCTGGTACATCGTCTTCAGCTGCATCCTTCTCTACGTGGTATTTCAGAAGCTCTCCACCCGACTCAGGGCGCTGAGGCAGAGACAGCTGGACCAGTCTGCAGCGGCAGTGGGTTAGTGCTTGGTAACAGAAAGGAAGGCGGTGGCTTTGCACTTCTTTCTTTTAGCATTTAAAAGTTAGTCTATTACTAAGAGTAAGAAGGTCTTGCTTCTAATCTGCACTAGAGGAAAACCATTTTGTGCTTCCGCAGTTGATCTTGGGGAAACATGCAGTCAGTTTTTAATTTCAGAGATCGTCAGGAGATGGAAAGCCTGCTTGGTGGTGCCGAGAGCACCCCCTGCATGTCTTGTTGAGTGGTTTTCGTTTAGGGGATGGATTGGAATGGAAACGTCACAGCTTCTCCATACTTAGGGGTCCGCCTACTGAATTTCTAGAACCCTTGTGAGTGACAGGAAACGCAGCCTTAGTTCACATCCACCACATTTGATTTTCACAACTTCCTCATCAGATCTGATTTCAAGTTACATTTGGCTGTAGCAAAAATTTATTTACAGTAGCCTTTTTGCTAGATAGAAGCTAATTTCCGAGGGCATATTTAAAAGAAATGTTAAGGGACACCTGGGTGGCTCAGTCAGTTAAGCATCGGACTTTGACTCAGGTCATGGTGTCCTGGTTTGTGGGCTTGAGCCCCTCATTGGGATCTGCGCTACAGCTCAGCCTGGAGCCTGCCTGAGATTCTGTGCCTGTCTCTCTGCTCCTCCCATGCTCACGCTCTGTCTCTCCCTTTCTCTATCTCTCAAAAATAAAGAAAGAAAGGAAAGAAAGAAAGAAGGGAGGGACGGAGGGATGTCAAGTGTTTTGAGAATAACGCCATCATTAAACAGATAAAAATCATTCTTTGGACCCCCCACGGTTACTGAGTTTGGAGAGCAAAGCACATGTCGTGACACAGAAGTAGTCAGTGGAAAGACTTAGCAATGTCCTTCACTCAAACGTGCCTCTCCCACGAAGCCCTGTGGTCCTGCCACTCTCTCCCTCTTTTTGATTGTTGGCTATACATCCAACAACAAACTACAAATTACAGGTGTACATCTTGCATAAGATGCAGGTTCTCAACAAGAGGGCGGCCGTGGTGTTAGGAAAACTGTTTCAGTCACCTGGCACAGCCCTCTTCATGGGTGAGGCGCTGGCAGTGTGACATGTGTCTTACCCTGGGAGAGTAGGTTTATGAGATGATGATAGGCTGGGCATTTTTTTTTTAATTTTTTTAAAATGTTTTATTTATTTCTGAGAGACAGAGACAGTGTGAGCAGGGGAGGGTCAGAGAGAGAGAGACAGATACAGAATCTGAAGCAGGCTCCAGGCTCTGAGCTAGCTGTCAGCACAGAACCCGCTGAGGGCGGCGGCGGGGGGGGGGGGGGTCTAACCCACGAACTGTGAGATCATGACCTGAGCCGAAATCGGATGCTTAACCGACTGAGCCTCCCAGGCACCCCAGGCTGGGCATTTTTAAAGAGGCCTCGTTGTTTTCATGAAGCGCTGCAGAAAGTAAATATGCAGCCAAAAGTGTTTTGGTTGTGCTGCTGTTCAATTTTGTTCGGAAAAGCAGGTTTAAAAACCCCACAGTTAAGATTGACTTTATACTAAGAATGAGCTGATAGTTACAAATGTTACCAAAATTCACAATTCTGTAAAGTGGAAGATAAAGTTCCAGGGGTGCCTGGGTGGCTCAGGTGGTTATGTGTCCGTGTTCGGCTCAGGTCATGATCTCACCAGTTCATTGGACTCTGTGCTGACAGCTCAGAGCCTGGCCCCTGCTTCAGATACTGTGTCTCCCTCTCTCTGTCCGTTCCCTGCTCATGTTCATTCTCTTTCTTTCTGTCTCTCACAAATAAGTAAACATTAAAAATATTTACATAAAATTCCAGCCATTCCTACCACTGTACACACTCACATCCATTCTCTTGACTGACCACATTTTAGCCCATTTTATGTGGATTCAGTTAAGTGGTCTTTTCCCACTACTGTGTAGGTAGTGATGATTGTCTGTACTTTTATATAGTGCCGATTTGGCCGTATAGTTCTTTGTTTTTTTCTTTTCATATTTTTTAAAAGTTTATTTATTTATTTTGAGACAGAGAGCATGAGTGGGAGAGGGAGGGAGAGAGAACCCCAAGCAAGCTCTGCACCATCTGCACAGAGCCTGATGTGGGGCTTGAATTCATGAAACTGTGAGAGCATAACGTGAGCTGAAATCAAAAGTTGGATGCTTAACCTACTGAGCTACCCAGGTGCCCCTGTTTTCTTCTTTAAAAATTAGCCATGCCACTGGTATCCTTTCCTTTTGGTGATCCTTGACATGGTGTTCTGAGTAGATAGGCAGACAACTTAACTGTATATATATGTAATTCTGCTTTGTTTAATAAACCAAATAAAACAGATAAAGTTGGGGAGTTCATTTCCATTAATGCTAACTGGAAGGATGTTTCTTTTCTGTAGAAACAAGGATAAAATATCTAAGGATCATTACCTCTTTGTGGTGTAGATCTGGGCCAATTAGTGATGGCTAATGATCAGAAAACTTCATCTTCTCTTGTTTGTCTTCTAGAATTTGGTCAGCCAGGAGACTGAGTGTCAGGAGGTGTCCAGTTTGCAGAATGGAATTTCGGGGTGCCCCTCAAACCACTTATAATTCAGTCACTGGGCTGTTCCAGAGTCTCTGACTTGGAATTGCTGAGGGAACCTAGGAATAACCCATTTCTAAAACATTTCTGATGCCCTGGATATTAACTAGGGCTAAGAACTGTGGCAACAGAGCAGTCCTCTGCCCCCATGAGTAGTAAAATGTATGCAGAACAGTAGAATATTCACGTACAGTACATGTTTTTTGCATTGTCTGACACCTGTACTTCTATATCCTTCTAGTAGTATGGACCCTCAAGAGTTTCTTTTTTCTCAAATTGTTTCTGACCTTTTAGAACCTGATGTTGTTGTTAAACGACAAGAGGCTTTAGCAGCTGCCCGTTTGAAAATGCAAGAAGAATTAAATGCACAAGTCGAAAAGCATAAGGAAAAACTACGACAGGTATGGACCTGTTTGAGTTTGACTGCATGGTTTTAAGAAATCGTTTGAGGCATAGTGGGTGAAAGATAGTGTGTGGGTGTGTGTGTACACGCCGGTTTGCCTGCGTGGCCTCCCCCATGAGGGACGGTATTGGGAACAACTGGTTGTGACAGAATCCTTTCCACTTAGCATCGGTCAGCATGCTTTCGTTGTGCAGTATATTCCTGTTTATGGGGAAAGTATGCTTTTAAAAAGGCATCTTTTATTTACCTTTTTGCTTTTCATTGGTTTCCTCACACAGGATTATCACCCAAAATGGTGTATCGCGGTGCCATGGCACTGGACACACGGGACATGTTCAGCTTCTTGCTCGGTTGTCTGTTTCTTTTCTTTCTTTTTTTTTTTTTAATGTTTTATTTATTTCTAGGAGAGAGAGAGAGAGACAGCGTGAGCAGGGGTGGGTCAGAGAGAGAGTCACAGACTGAAACAGGCTCCAGGCTCTGAGCTGGCAGTCAGCACAGAGCCCGACACGGGGCTCGAACCCACGAACTGCGAGATCATGACCTAAGCGAAAGTTGGACGCTTAACTGACTAAGCCACCCAGGTGCCCCTCGGTTGTCTGTTTCAAGCCACGTATCTCACACGACCTAGCTTGGTGGGGCCACTTTCAGTGGATGGAGGGAGAGCCAGGGAAGGGTGGTGATGGGCTCATCCCAGGGGTGAGAGAGGGAATAGGAGATGGAGTTCTGAAAGCTGTTTTATACAGGTTCAGTGGGGGAGGGGAGGGAGGAAGAACCAAGGACAACAGTTGGAAATGACCTGAGCCTTCAGTGGATTGTGCTGCACTTCACAGGTGGAAGGCCACCCACAAGATTTGACCCTGTCTATAACTGAAACGACCAGGTGTGGACTCTGCCTTCTGAGAAGTGGCAGTCCAGATGTTTCTGGGCCCCCCTTCATCTTCCCAGAAGGAAGCCTCTGCTGGCTCTGAGGCCTTCCTCTTGGCTTTGCCTGTCTCTCTGGTGTTTCCAGGGTCACGTGCCTTTCTGCCACTGCTAGTGGCTCTTGTGGTTTCTGCGTGGTCACCCAGGACTTGGCTGGAGCCCAGAAGGAAAGGACGGAGCAGGACCACATCTGCTCCACACACTCCTCCTCCGTGGTCACCCTGTCCCAGCAGCCTTCTTCCGGGCATAGTGGCATATTTCCACTAAAAGCAACCACGAACCTAGAACGTACTAGCATGTTGCTGTTACTCAACTTTTTAAATCCTACAAAGTAAAAAATTCAAGATATAAAAATCAACACCATGAAAATTAAGTTTTGATCTCGTTCCTCTACCTACTGCCGCCTAAGCATCCCATATTAGGGTTTTTAGGTATTTTTCCAGAAGAATTTATCTATGTTAAACACACAGGAATTTTTCATTGAATTGGCAGCGTAGTATACATAAATGCCATTTTTGAGCATGTTTTAGTTTTTTTAGTTTTGAGCATATTTTAGGTTTTTTCTCTGCTGATCTCCAACCATGTAATTATTATTGTTTTGTTCCTAGAGTCATAGAATAAGTTGAATTCCTTCTGCATGTCAGAATGGATGACTTCAGGGTCTGAGTTGTGTGTGTGTGTGTGTGTGTGAAATAGCTTGAACATTTATGCAGTTTGCTGATGGCAGCTGAAAATAATCTTTTTAAAAGATCGCTTTTTAAAATTGTAGTGTCAGCCCCCCAAAACTTGGGAGGAGAAAAAAGCTTACGTTCAGATATTTGTAGCATGTGTGGCTCTGTCTCACATACTTAACAAACATGACAGTAATAACCAACTGATTGAGCCTGCCTGACCCACAGCTAGCACCGCTCTCCTGTTTATGGTCTCAGGATTTGTCGGCCGAGTCCCATCCTGGTGTACTCCATGTCAGCTAGGAGTATAAAATAGATGATTTCCGCCCTGACCTCTTGTATCTGCGGACACCGGAAGCATGGGGTGAAAGGTGTTTGGATTCAGCAGCAAGGGACACTGAAAGCCATGGAGAAATTTTCTGGATATGTGATTTGTAAGGCGTCTTCTCACATATCCTCGTGACGTAATGGTGTCATTGGAACCAGAATGAACGGCAGTTTGGGTCTGGATTGCACTGGGAGTGAGAAATGTAGCACTTGTAAGCTGTGGTACCCAGTTACCAGCAGGAATGTTGCTCTTCTGGGAGGTGGAGGCAGAGGCAAAGGTCCAGGCCACCGTGTTCCTCCCTCCTTGGGAGCCTGCTTATTATAGGAGCACAAGCTCTCTCAAGGGCTCTTTGTTGTGCATAATTTTTCACTGAAATTAGTTTTCTCTTATGTTTCCAGTAGTACTTGACTTTCAAAGCGCTTTCAAATCTGCTCTCACTAGCTCTTCACAGTATGCAAAGCAGAGAGATTAAGTGACTTAGGTAATGCGGCCACACAGCCACAGAGCAGGCCTGCCAGCCATGCTCACCTGTTCCAAGTCAGAGTCCTTTCACGTCACCAGAAATGTCCTCCTGTGGGCAAGTAGCAGAACTGAATTTGTATGTACTAGATGACAGCACTGTTACTAAAGAAAATGCAGGTGAAGGTTTGGTTCGAAGGACTTTTTTTTTATTTTTAATATTTTTATTTATTTCTAGAAGAGAGAGAGAGAGACAGCGTGAGCAGGGGAGGGTCAGAGAGAGAGGGAGACACAGACTCTGAAATAGGCTCCAGACTCTGAGCTGGCAGTCAGCACAGAGCCCGACGCGGGGCTCGAACCCACGAACCGCGAGACCATGACCTAAGCGAAAGTCGGACGCTTAACCGACTAAGCCACCCAGGCGCCCCTCGAAGGACTTTTAAATTAGAAAATTGTTGGGATGCCGGCTGGTTCACTCAATTGAGCGTCCAACTCTTGCTTTCAGCTCAGGTCATGATCTCACATTCGTGAGATGGAGCTTCGCATCGGGCTCCGCTTTGAGCGTGGAGCCTGCTTGAGTTTCTCCCTCCCTCTCCCTCTGTGCTTCTTTCCTGCTTGCACACTCTCTCTAAAATTTAAAAAAAAAAATTAGAAAATTGTCAAAGTTAGCATTTTCTTTGAGAAAGATGGCAGCTTATGAATTTATATCGTAATGCGTGTGATTGTTTCTCAGCTTGAAGAACAGAAAAGGAGACAGAAGATTGAAATGTGGGACAGCATGCAAGAAGGAAAAAGTTACAAAGGAAATGCAAGAAAGCTTCCAGAAGAAGACAATCCTGGGCCTTCTACTTCATCCACCCTGCCGAAACGGAAGTCTGACAGAAAGCCTCTGCGGGGAGGTGGTAAGTACCTAACGTTAAAGCTTTTTGAGCAATTACGGGATACATTTACCTTTTAAAAATAAGATCCTGTTTCTTCCTTTTGTTGTCTATAAAATGAGGCTAACTCCTAAGTTTAGGATTATGGAGATTAGACAGAAGAAACACATGCCAAGCTCTCCCCCCCCACCCCCCCCAGCGCCTGGCAGTCACCATCTTGGTGAAACCTCTTACCCAGTGTCCCAGGGCAAGGATGTGGGCACGGATCCTGTTTCCTGGAGGCCTGTCACCTCTTGGCCTCAGCATCCAATCAGTAAAAAAAAGTAAACCTTTAATAAGTTGAAAGGGGAGGTTAGTCAAGCCCCCAGTGAGGAATCGGAATGGTGGCACTCGTAGGTAAGCCTCATGTCGGCCCCACCCGGCCCTGGAAGGGGAGAGCTAAGTAGGATGAGGAATGGGTTGCCCATCTTACAGATAAGTGTGTTTTGGGGGGTTTTTACATGTTTGAGGAATTAAGATCAAGAAGCCAGATGGCTTCTTTTATTCCCAGCAGAAAGTCCATTCAAAGCGCAGTCACAGGGTACAGTATTTTTTTCACATGGTAGCTAAAAGTTTGTGAAAATGTCTGTGAGAATAGAATCCATACCTTTGTAGTGCTTTGTAGGTGAGGATCATGGTTTTATTTTTAATACAGAACGTTCCCAGTACTGTTTTTGCTTTCTTTCTTTCATCCCAGGTTACAACCCTCTGTCTGGTGAAGGAGGGGGAGCCTGCTCCTGGAGACCTGGACGCAGAGGCCCGACATCTGGCGGATGAGGCTAAGAATCTTGTTAGTGTCACTTTCGACATTAGCAAGATGAGTCCATAACCCTCAGTTCAATTGCCTTACGCACACTTTTCACAGTGACTGGCCAAGGGGAGTGGGTTTATTTGTGATCGTAACTACACCTGCATCTTTAATGGCTGAAGTCCACAAGGGATATAGACATCACCACTAGCAGTAGGGACAGTTGGTCACACTTCACTAACTGTGGATACAGTGACGGTGTTCATTGATTTCATGAAAATTGCTAGTTGGTAGATAAAGCCCTCCAGGTGACTAACAGTCTTGAGTTAAAAGAGACCCAGTCATGGTTCTTCAAGTTAGAAGTCCTTGCTGGTTGGTCAGTCTCTGTGCCAGGTTGCGTTGAATGATGTCTTCCTTGTAAATGGTGAGCCCACCAGCGAGGATTACTGATGCCGACAGTCGATGGGGTTGTTTCTGTATATTTATTTTTATGTACAGAACTTTGTAAAAAAAAAAAAAGAGAGAGAGAAAGAAACTGTAAATATTAAAAAAAATGCAAAGAATGTTTTTAGCATCTTAATTAAATTCAAAAAAATTTCTTTCTGAACTTGAATTTGTCAAACATTAAGCCGCTTTTTATCCTTCCACAACCTCCTTCTACTACTCATCTTCCCTGCTCCCTGTTTCTGACCTGTGGGGAGCATGGGAGTGGCAGCTACAGTGATTGCCAGAGTGGGCAGATGCGTTGAGGTCTGTCCACAAAATCGGGTGCTCAGAGCAGAGTTGCTAAATTAATAGGATAAAGAAACATCTTGTCTAGAGGTGTTTCCAGGGCCATCCGGGTTCCTAAGGGCCCTGTTGGTCAGCCCCCTTGCGAGGCTCTGTCAGGAGTACACGACAAAGGGCCAGGTAGTAAATATTTCAGGCTATGCAGGATCCAAAGTGTGTTAGGTTTGTACATTTTTTTTTTAGTTAATTAATTTATTTTTTTAACACTTTATTGTCAAGTTGGTTTTCATATAACACCCAGTGCTCATCCCCAGAAGTGCCCTCCTCCATGCCCATCACCCCCCTTCCCCCCCACTTCCATCAGCCCTCAGTTTGTTTTTTTTAAAGAATGTTGGAAACAAAAGATTCTTAGCCCGTGGGCTGGATTTGGCCTTGTGCTGTAGTTTACAGATCATGCTGGCAAGTGGAGATCCTAGGAAGGAACAGAATTAACCTGCAGAATTTTCCAGAAAAGTATCCTAGAGTGGTCTCATATACAAATTAGCCAACATTTATTGAGAATCTGATCTGTGTGAAGTATTCTGTGGCCGTCTTCCTTGATACAAGTAAAGGAAGAAATACATTGTGGTTTTATGGGGCTTAAGGTCTCTTGGGGAAGGTTGGGGAGAGCAAAAACAGGGCACTTGAAGAACAGCGTACTTACAGACAAGTAGGTGAGGATAGTCAAGACTAAGAATTTGAGTCTGGAGACATTGGAGTCAAATTTTGGGTGGGGGACACCCGGGTTCCAGACAGAAGAGACGGTCAGTGAAAGCAAGGGTGGGGTCGTGAGGTTCAGGAGATCCCAGTGTCCAGTTTGTAACCAGATTGGCTTTTTACCAGCATAGATGCCTTACAGCATGGGAAGCGTCATACTTGGGTTAAAGTATTCAGATTTGTTTGCATTTAGAGAGATTCCCTTGTGGGCTCTAAAGGAACTTTTTAATAATTCTTTAACATATTTTCTATAGCTGAAAACACGTGTTAAGTTGCTCTCAGTGATTCATTTTAGAATCTTCATTTAGAAGTAGAGGGCATGTTTTAGTATACTCTGAGCTGTGACTCATTTCCCTCAAGCCTCGTTTTTTTCTGTAAATTTAGAAATTAGCAAGTCATGAGCACAATGGGAAGAAACGATGTTTGAATTTCTGAGCCCTGATTATCAAGGTCAACTTCATCTTTGTACTCCTGACAGCCAAGAGCCATAGATACCCAGGCTGGGGACCTTGCTGTAGCTAACAAAGCAGTTCTGTGGGACAGTGAATAATTGGCGGGGGCGGGGAGACGGTATTGTGTGCTAGAAGCCTGGGACAGAAGGCATTTCAGAAGGGTGGGCTGAGGTAGCCAGGTAGTCTTGCTCTCCCCTTGAAAGGATGAGGAGATGGAGCCAGAACCTGAGGCCTGTGGGGGAAGGAGAGGGGGCCAGGGCCAGGAGAGCCACGTGGAACAGGGCAGGACACTGTCCCATGCCTCAGCAGAAGGGCCGCAGCTGGGATGGCAGCTGGGACCTGAGGTGATAGGCACTTGGGAGCTGTAGCTGTACGTTTTCGGGGATGATGGTGTGACCCGGTCCATCCTGACCATGAAGCAATGTTCGACTCTCGGGCAAGATACAGATGCGTCTTCAGTTGAAACTCTGGTAGCTGGATTTCTGTCCGTGGCCTGTGCACCTGCCTCTACGTGAGGGGAAAGACTTGAACAGTCATTCGGATCCCCTACCCTCCTCACGGACTCCGCTCTTGCCTCTCCTTCCCCTCTGCCCGCTCCGCTCGCTCTTCCTCACCAAATATTCGAGCAGGCTTTGCATTCAAACAAGAAGGAGCCCATATGAAACAAGCACTGGCTCTCTCTGGTGCCCTTCCCCGTAGCTCAAACTCAAGTTGTCACTGCTTGTCCTCTGCTCCTTACCTGACCTGCTTAACACTGACTGGGCTCTCAGACTTCAAACTGGTGGAACTCCTGGTCATGTCTTGTTTGGCCTGGTAGCACCTGACCCCTCCTTGCAGCCCTTCCTGTCCTGTCTGCCACAGCACCACATGCTGGGTTTTATTCCCACAATAAAACCTCCCTCCCTGAACCAGTTTTCTGTATTCCCTGTCTAGTACTTCTCACTAATGCTCTTAAGATCATCTGTGGTATCGTCTGATAGATCATTCTCAGTACTCACCTTAACCAAGCATCATTGGCGATAACTGAGCACTCCTTGAAAAGAATGTTCTCTTGACTTCTAGGACTCCACACATGACTGGTTTGCTCCTACCTTTCTGGCCGTTGCTAAGTGCTTTTTTTTCTCACCTTCCTGACCACTAAATGCTAGAGTTAGAAGAAGTTACAAAAGTCAAGAAGGTAACCGACATTGGGGGCATTGTGGAAACCACACAGGTAAAAACACCTCACGCACTGGCTGGCTGGCTCTCTGCTGGGCTGCAGGGGAGGGGACCGTAAGTTTCTCAATCCCCAGCAGCCTGGCTTGGCTTGTTCACGTGGTGGCTCAGTTCCAGGAAGAGTGTGCCAAACCTTTCCAAATCTGTTTGCGTCATGTTTGCTACATCCTATCAGCTGAAGCAATTCCCAAGTCCAGGCCCAATACAAAGGTGGAGGAAGACCTCTCAACGGAAGAAGCAAAAAACCACATACAAGGGTATAGAAGCAGAGAAGGGAAAGAAACTGGCCATTTGCAACGGAAGTATGGTAGCTCCTCATGGATCTAATACCTGTCTTTCAGCCTATGAAATCCCCAATCTGGATCAAAATTGCCCCCACTTGATCCTTGAGGATCATCCCCAAGATTTGTAATCAAGAGAATTGCCTAACAAATAGGAAGAATGCTGCTGTGATAAATATATCACGCCTTAATCCCAAAAGGAGCCTCGAAAATGGCCTGTTAATCAGTTAGGGCCCAACAGGAAATAGGGCTTACTCAAACCAGTTGATGGGGGAGTAAGTACTCAGTAAAGAAGCTAACTGCATACGTGTGGGTGGGGTTTAGGGAAACCAGTGAGGGAGGGTACAATACCAGGGGTGCCAGCGACACTGGGGAGCCATTGATACCTTCCTCCCCACCCCACAAGCCTAAAGATCCGTAAAAAGACCGGTCACCAGAACCTGAAGAGAGGGCCTGTGTGGGGAAAATCCACCTGACAGGAAAATCCACAGGACAGGCCTGTGGTAGAGAGCCAACCCACACTTCCCAGGGAGAAGGAACCAGAATAAGTACTCTCACCTCACTTTCTCACACCAGTCTCTGCCAGTGCATCACTGGCTGAACTCAGCCGAAAGCTAGATCTCGTGGGGTCAACATAAGCCAGCTAAACTGGTCCACTGATGCCTTTAGTAGCTGTTCACGGGTTGAAATCTATCCCCCAAAAGATCTGTTGGAAGACCTAACCCCTGGTACCTGTGAACATGACCTCATTTGGAAATAGAGTCTTTGTAGAGGTTATCAAGTTAAAATGAGGTCATCCGTGGTCATACTGAATTAGGGTAGGCCTTAATCCAATGTGATTAGCGAATTTGTTTGCTGGGTGGCATAATGAAGCACCATAGACCAGGTAGCTTAAACCACAGACATTTCTTATCTCATGATTCTGGAGGCTGGAAATCAAAGAAGTCTGCAGGCTTGCTTTCCTCTGAGGCCCCTTGCTGTCTCTCGCAGATGGCTACCATCTTGGTGCCTCTTCACATGGTCTTTTCTCTGTGGGTGTGCATCCTTCCTTTCTCTGCGTGTCCCTATCTCCCCTTTTAAAGAGACCCCTCAGGTTGGATTAGGGCCCACCCTGAAGACTTCCTTTAAACATAATTACGTCTTTAAGACCCTATCTCCAAATGCAGCCACATTTCTGAGGTACTAGAGGCTAAGGCTCCAACATGTGACTTCTGGGGGAAGAGAATTCAGCCAATAACAATTGGCGTTCTTATAAGAAGAGGAGACACACAGACTGAAGACAGCCATGTGAAGATGGAGACAGAGATTGGAGTGAAGCAGCCACAAGTGGAGGAATCCCTGGGGCTACTAGGACTGAAAAAGACAAAGAAGGATCCTCCCCTAGAGGCAGGGGAGAGTGTGGCCATGCCAACACTTTAATTTTAGAACTGTAAGAGAATAGATTTCTGTTATAAGTCACCCAGTTTGTGGCAATTTGTCACAACAGCCAGAGGAAGCTAATACAGTGGCCTACAGTGTACCCCTTAATAGTACCCTCCAGAAGTGGCCCTGAGGACTTCCCTTTATCAATGCATTAAAGATGGTGCTGGTGAGGAGGCATCAGTGTTCATTACCACTATCAAGGATGGTGATAGTGACAGTGCTGGGTAATTTATGTTTACTCCTCCACATCCACTCTCCACTCCATTCTTGCCCCAAGAGGCTGACCTGTATGAGCTGCAGGGGGCCATATATGTCCATTCAAGCCAGCATCTTGGGGAGCTGACTCTACGCCTCTTTGACCACAGGATTCAGATAAGAAATCTAGTGGATCTGAACACCATTCCCCAGTGCTCCAGCCAATGCATTAAACCCTGAATTCCATGTTGAGAAGTTCAGCTCCGTTAAGCCTTTTATAATTCATTGTCCTTCTGAGACCTTGGAGTCCATTACTATGATCCTTCCCAGACTCTTGCCGGCACAGATGGGTAAGGCCCTGCCATACTGTTCAGCCCTGCCCTCCCACTGCAGGCATGGTACTTTTCCATCTGTGGTATGTTGGGATCAGACTCTTCCTGTGGCCTGGAGGCAGTGAGGAGGAGGAGGG